ATCCCCCCCCCCCCCCCCGCCCTTTTTCCTTTATTCTTCTTTCATTCTTTTTTGTGTGTATTAATTGTGTTTTTTAAACTGTCTCTGCAGTTCTCATTCCATAAATTTTGCCTGTACCGTTCTGTACCTGTTTTCCTCCCAAAGTTCTACACAGACATACACACACACACACACACACACACACACACACACACACACACACAAACAAACACACACCAAGCAGTCGGTGATGAAACCAACCTCGCGTTGCCTAGTGATGTAGCCCATCACGCGCTATGCGGTATAGTGGCATAGCGGGCCCACTACGGCGTGGACAAAAGCCCAAAGAGGAAGTGCAATATCCTGGTCGAAGAGAATTTTTGGTGTAGTGGAGTTGGAGAGAGCTGTGAGAGAGAGAGTTTCGGTTGGGAAGTGGGGGGAGGTGGAACCGGGTAGATCTAACGCCCCGATTGGAGGTCCTTCCATGCAAGCTGATGATCTTAATAATGTGGACTTGTTTTTATAAATAAACAAATAACATTACCTTTTTCATTGCAGTAGATTCCCATCCTTTGAAGATGGCAAAGAGGAAACAGCAGGTGGAGGGGGACATGAGGTTGCTGATAACTGCCATCACTGGTTTAGAAGTAAGTTTTTGGTGTGTTGTTTTAAAAAATATAACTCTTTTGTAGTATGTGGAATATTTTTACTTTTTAAAAAACTCACAACACAGTCTTTATACCTGTCCCCGTGGTTTTATGCACCCCGTATAATTTAGCAAAATTTGATCATTTTTTGCATAATTTCTGATTATTTTCCTTTATCGTTCTTTGTTAAGATTTAAATAATCGCATAATTTCATATTTTTGGGCTCAATTTGCATATTTTCAGAATTTTTCTTGCATGAAACGGCGGGGACAGTTATACACACTAGTATTGCTGGCACCGTGATTCAACCGCCTAAGTGCCAAGCGACAAATTTTACAGGAAACACAAAAAAGTGTTTTATTTCTTTATAAATGCTCGTACCTTTATGAAGAATCTTAAATGCAAATATATATATTATATATCTGCATTTAAGATTCTATATATATATATAATATGATGTAGGCCGTTGGTATCTAGCTCTAATTTGGAGAAAAAAATGCTTTATTTGTTACACAAGTTACTGAACTTATGGGTTTGAGACCTACCCAAATCTGCATGATTCAACTGCCTACACGATAGTATGACGATATCTAAGCATTGGGATAACGTTAATCAACGCCACTCAGTCAACACTCACTGAGCACCAATGGTCGCTTGGGCATTTGAGTTATCAACAAAAGCAAATAATTATAGTCTTAAGAGTATCTTAAAGGCCGCGATGGTATATATTCGATGACCATGTCACAAACAAACATGCGTTTAAAACAAAGAAGAATTATTGTTCTGAATCTGTGCTTTGACTGGGAGCCAGTGTTTTTGAATTAGCATTGGTGTTACTTGCTGTTTGAGAAATTAAAAAAAAATTATGCGAGCAGCTTGGTTTTGGAGTCGCTGTAACCTATTTAACGTTTCAGTGGGAAGGTTTCCGAAAAAAGAATTGCAGTAGTCTAGACTTTAAAGGACATTTAAGAAGAGATGAGGGTTATGATGGAATCAACACTAAGGTATGTTGACATTTGTTCTATTCTTCGTTGTTCAAAATAAAGTTTACTGTTTGAAATGAAAACAGGAAGTAACATACACATGTAATTTGAAATTCGTTTATATAACTTTATAAGTTAAGATAATATTTAAAACCACCAAAATAAGTTATAAAGACGTTCTTTCATGAATGCTTTGTGCAAACATTTTTATTTTAAAGGTATCACGCCATTTTTTTTTTTTCAAGCTGAGTCGATCATAAGGTTAGCACTCTACTGTAAAATTCCCGACACACCTTCGTGCACCTCATTCTATTGATTTTTCTTATTTTTTCACGCAACACTTCCCATGACCACCCCCCGGGGCGTGCTACTGACTGAAGTGTCTTAAGGCCATTCCCAAAGGGGGGACATTGACATCTTCCAGTTCTTATGCACAGTAGAATTGAAATTTTAAATGGGCTGATTCATCAATGCCATGCTCATAACTGTGGCTGACCTGCAATAGGGAACTGCTGCTTTTTCTTTCCTAATCCTTACTATCGTCATTTTTCTTCTACTTCTTTTGTATGTTTGTCACACTCTTGTGACCCGCTATTTCTGGGATGCCTTGATAGTCGAAGCAGACTTTGTGCTATTGAAGCTAGAGAAGTGAGCAGAGTAAGTCTGTAAGGACTTGTCTGTTGACATCCACCCTTTGGCGCTCATATGACCTTGTGCAGTTGCGAACGCCGTAAAACCTCTACTAAAACTAAAACTAAACTCCCCATGACCCATTCAAAAACTGACCGTAGAAGAAGAAAATGACTCAATCTCAAAAGCCGGTTCTTGGAATATAGTGCATTTTCATCTCATTATCAAAGCAGGGAATATATATGCGATAACAGTGCGCAAATTTGTGTGTATCATGAAGTACTTTGAATGAAGAAATATCCCTAGAAATCATTTCTTGTTACAATGGCTAAATTTAGTGAAATGATAAAATGTCACAAAGAAATGTAAGCTGTCAAGACATGACATCGTATAAAGACGGTAACTTTAGTGAAGTGAAACTTAATGCGGGAAAGGAAAATGCTATAAAACATCTCATGTTGTTTCTGTTGTAGAAGTTGGAGTGTTTAAGAAAAGCATGCATGTTGTTGACAAACTGTTAGGTAGAAAGCCCCAGACTAGGAGACAACTCTGTTGAATGGACATGACGTCTTGTTTCATTTTCCAGTTTTATGCATTTGTGATGGTTTGAAGCCCCTTTTATGCTTGTGTCCTCAAACTTTTTATGAATAATTTATGGGGGCTCTTGTGGTCTAGAGGTTAAGGTGTTAGCCTTTTATGCAATAGGTCGCGGGTTCGAACCTGGATAGTGACGGAACATTTTCTTCTCTAAAATTTTCTCCTTTTGCATCCTTTCCTGCTCTCTAATAATGTTCTGCTGTCTGCTTTCGTCTCCATTTTCTGCCCCTCACCCCCTAACCTCCTTTACCCCCTTCTCTGGGCTCCTGACTCTTTCTGCAGCCTTTCTACTGCTACTCCTTCGCTCCTTCTTACTGCTGTTTTTCAGCCACACCCTTGATCTTATGGTAAGAAAGATCAACACCTAGCCTTCTGAGACAAAGACGAAAAATCTCTGAGGTCCCATGTGCAAGATGCGGGTGTGGTCCAAAATCGATAAGAGTAGGCTTCGGCCGCCACATGGCAAAATTCGAAATTTTTCTACCAACTGAAAATGTTTAATGTGCCCCGCGCATTCATATGACCTTATGCAGTTGCGAGCGCCCTGAAACACTTATCCCCCACCCCCTTAAAAAAAGAATATTTTTAATTACTGTTCAGTGAAGATTTTAATTGTTTGCTTTCTTTTTGATCTGTCAAAGGTTGGAGATGAGAACTTTGACCTATGTGTGAATTTTTCCAAGTCAAATTTCAAGTACCACAGATTCCTGAGTCCAGACAGCCACAAGCTTGAGAGAGCAGTTGAAGGGTAAGTAATGAAGGTTGTGTCCATCTTATAGGGGGGGGGATAATGTGGCTGTACGTCCAAGATGATTGTTGTCTTATATTGTGACTTGTGTAACCCACTCATGGCTGAAAAGTTCTGCACTGGTTGCCAGTTCATATACAGGGGATGTATAGGTCAGGACAGATATAGCGTGGGTGACTTGCTTTTTCTTTTTTTTCCCCGTTTTTTTTTTTCTGTCTGAATGTCTGACTTTTTCCTGATGCTAAATGACTGTTCTTGTGTTGATTTTCTCTTTACTCAGACAATGTGTGGTTCACTCCTTCTTTCTCATTGCAGGTCTATCGTCCTTTTCGCTCTTCCTTCTTTTGTTTGTATGTTACACTCAAGTAACACCTCTAATCTTTGACAGTTATATAACCTGATTGTATTTCAAGTACAGTAAAACTTATACTAAACTAAAGCCAATAAACAAGCTAATAGAGCTGGAGGAGGTATAGACTTAGACTGTCACTGCCTCCCTGTCGACTGCAGACCATTTCGTGGGTCTAGAGGCAAACTGTTCAATGTGTCAGCGGATATGGAGATTTTTCAATGGCCTTAACTTCCACCAAGGGACGCAGCTTGTATTAAAACATCAGAACCGTAGCTTTAAAAATTTCTATCGGTGGTAGAAAATAAAGAAAAGTATTGTAAATGCGTAAGTTAGAATACTTTTCTTCTCAAATGGCTTTGCCAAAAACAAAGGAAACTTTTAAATACCGCTTTAGAATAATTTTCCTCACACTTTGTTCTGAAGAAAAGTACTCTAAGTGACACTGTGTCTGATTTAACGAGAATGGAAGAAATTGATTAGAAAACGATTTACAAAACGAGTTTGTTTTTTTACAGTTCATATGAGTTAAGGATTTTTAGAATTGTGTTCTGTTGAAATGATAAAGTTTTTTCCTTCTCCTGTAAAATTTGCAAAATGTTATTCAGAATAGTTTTCCTATCGACCCACAATTTGAAGAATCAGGTCCAGTGGACTACAAAGAACAGATTTATGACGTTTTATGTCATGGTACAGAGAACAGATTTATGATGTTTTATGTCATGGAACAGAGAACAGATTTATGACGTTTTATGTCATGGTCATTATTTTTCAATTCATGGAGTTGTCGTTTTTTTCTAAATTTCAAAATTAAAGAGCCTTTTAATTGTTATTTTTCCCCTTGGAAGAATATTGTATAAGAGAAGGCTCACAAATTACGCATCAACTCCCTTTAGTGGCCTTCAGCTCAGAAATATGAAGCTGTTTCAGTTTTGCATCCACAAGTAGAAGAAACATTTTCCTATATGGTAATAAAGGTGGTATAAAGTGAGAAATAAGGATCCTGATCTGCTGGTGAGAAATATGTCTTAAGACCACCGAAAGGAACAGATTATAATTGATTACCTCTCTTCATGGAAATGATTCTTGTATGGCTATTTATTAGAAATTAGGGTACAGAAGCTTGCGTATTATATTGTATTGATGATGAAAGTTAAAGGTTCCCTAAGTAGCACATAATAGACAATACCATGATACAGACAATTTCTGACAACACAAACAAGCTGTTGCTGGCTGCTGCAGTGCTTTACCCTGGTTCTTTATCAGCTCCCTAAGACGCTCCGCAGTGACCTGTGAGGTTTACATGTCACTGATAATTATTTTTTTCATCATTAATAAGTTAAATAAGCTAGAACTTGATGATCGCAGCCACTGTTGCCAGACAGCCCGCCAGATGTTAGTTCAAATCTTCTGTTTTTCTTCTTTATTCTTTCTTACCAGACTGTGTGAGAAACTGGAGGTGCACTCCCAGCATGAGAAAGCAGTTGCTCTGAAGGAGATGGTGGAGTCATTCTTACAGCTGCCTGGCTTGGACGGCAAGGAGGTTGGCAAGGTGAGAGGTCAAAAGCAGATAAAACGGCTTCTAATACTTATTTCTAGAACCACTTTTGTGTTGATACTGGGGTGCAAAAATTTCTTGGATAGTGTGGGGGTTATTTTTACTTCAAAGAATCAATGAAATTGTGAATATGCGGGATATTTTCATGTGTATTCTGTTGGTGCCTGACAAACTTCGATGCAGTAACTTGCTGTCTTTCTTCTTTGCTATCTTATTTGTTTTAAGTTATCTATATCTATATATATATGTATATATGATTTGGGTCTTTTTTCCCAATAAAAGAAGGAAAAGTGGTGGTGATCATGAAACAAAAACTGTTCAGTTTGAAATTTTGTAGTTAGTATACTTGTCTGCAGTACATACAAGGGGAAACCTTATTTTTTACCAGTTGTTGTAAATACCCCTTCTTCTCATTGGCCTGTTCCTGTTTTTAAAAAAATTCATGACTGTACAAAACTGAAAAACTCAAAACTACACAAAGTAATGTGTTAAATGGTAAGTATCTTTAGCTAAAATGTTACAATATATTTTAAGAAAAGTAAATTATTTAGTAGTGATAGAGTAAACTCAAAAGTGAGAAAGCAGCATTTGAACGAAGACTGGAAGCTAGGGGATCCAATCAGGTGTGTGGGTGGTTGGAGGGTGCTCTGGTGTGGTTTGCTCCTTCTTACCTATCAAACATCTATCGACTTTATCTCTCTTCATTCCTTTTTGTGTTTGGTACTAGCTTGTAACACCTCTAATCTTCGGCACTTTTATGACCTTATCGTGTTGCAAGTGCCGTAAAACTCTTACTAACTAAAACTAAAATCAATCATGTGCTGAGGCCTCAAGGAACAAATGGTGATGATTATGAACTTGTTTGACATACGCCACCCGTCCCCAGACTGATGTGCACTACGCTGTGCTCTCCCTTCTGCTGGAACTGGCCGATTCTCCGACAAAGACTCACTTTGAGAAGAAGGTCAAGGATATTGTGGAAGGTGAGTAGTATGTGCTAGAAGGTCAGTGATATTGTTGAAGGTGAGTAGTATATGAAGGTCAAGGATATTGTGGAAGGTGAGTGGTATT